TGTTTTTCTATATATTTTTTACTTATTGTTCTATGTATTAAGAAAAATAACTAAAATATAAGCAATTATAAGTAAATAATTATAATATATATATATACATGTGCACATACACAACTTATACACCTGTACCTCTGAATTCTGACTACCCCAGGAGGATAATTAACATCCAAATACCTATCAAGTTTATTGGATTGGCCCAGACTTTGTACAGAGCAGTATCATAAACATTTTCTCATACTTTTATTACTTTACACATTTCTCCTTGTAACCACTGTACTGTAAACAAGGTGATAAATCCTCCCCACTGTGTTCTCAGAGCCAGGATTACGATGAACTCTGTGGAAACTTAGACTTATTGCATTATACATGCTTGTTAGTTGTTGACAGTGTCATGTAAGCAGTATATTGGCATAAACAGTGATTCGTTGCCTTATTTATGGCAAGTTTCTACTTCAGCCACTAACAGTAAAATAAGCATGGTAAATAGATGTGGAAAGGTTAGAAGTAGAAACTCTCATAAAGTACTTTGGAATTTTGTGATTAATACTAAAAAGGATAGAACAGTACTACTCACTTCATTTCTCTCTCTTTTTTTTTTATGATAGTTATGAAATCAGTCAAATTGAGTGAATGCATATAGAATAAGGGTAGGGAAAATAACAGATACAAAGTTTTAGTGAAAAAAACATCTGATATTTATTTACAATGTTTTACAGATTATGCAAATGAAATTGAATAATTGTTTGGTGAAGAAAATACTTTTAATCTAAGATTGAAAATCACTTTCCACTCAGAGCAGTCAACACTCTAACTCCATATATTAGCAGATAAATTTTTAGTTAAAATACTTAAATAAAAATTTTGATGTTTTGTCTACAAAAGACTTTTAATGTTTAATAAAAGCTTGAAAAATTTCATTAAGATTCACAAAACGTGTTAAATGTTATAGTATGAAAACTCTGATGGTCATGTTGTCAGTGTAATCCACCAAAGCAGTAGCGAAAGGGTTAACTTTTTTCCTGTTCATTTTCAAAATATATAATTGTTAGTGGCATGCAGATTGCATTATTATTGTTTTCAAATGAATTACAAAGAGACTTAATTTTTTACATTGTATTTTAATACTTGCTTTCAAAACTCCTTTAAACCAACGTAGCAAAAGAACAACTATCACAAATCCAAGATTTCTGTGCATAAATATTTTTACATTTACAGAAAACTGAATTTATATTTAAAACAAAATTCACTTTGTAAAACCAAATTTGATGTCAGGAACCCACTTAGTGACTAAAAACTTTAGAGATGGCTTGAATGGGTAACAAAGAAAATTATTGTAGTTTTAACACAGTAACAAATGTACAGTGCTTCAACATGGTTTTGTCATGGTCATGTACAGTTTGTTTACCTAGACACATATATGCATTATGAAATAAAAGTCACATGAGCAGAGATTACTCAAAGGCTTAGTAAAGGTATTTTTGGACACAGTCTCTCTTTAAACAAATATATTCCATTCATCTTAATATTAAATTCATCATCAAACAACAAACAAGTTATCCTTTCTTAGAACATTCACACTGACTTCTATATTCTTTGGAATTCTGAAACCAAACAAAAACACAATGTATTAAAAAAACTTATAAGTACAACCTCTAGATTGTTCAGTGGACAACATTGATGCATTCCTTCATTTACACAGTATCAACTTTTCATCAGGTATTGTTTAAAAAACAAAAAACCCAAGACCACCAGAACGAAGAATTTAGTATCAATTCTGTTTGTGAGTTTAAGTAACCAACCAACAGCAAAACATCACACTGCAGTTTACCATATATCCTTTAAGTCAGCTCAAAAGATGAAAGTAATTCACACTTGTCATTAAACAGAAAATTCCTGATGGTTCAAAATTCACTCAAAAAACTGACCCTAAACAAGAGTACTTACTAAGTAAAAATTATGTAGAATACAATACCAATGTCATTATAAAAATGATGTGTGTAGTAACTGACCAGTGTTTTACATCAGAGCAACCAGAAGAAATTTGGGAAAAAGATTCACTGACCACGATTTTAAAAAATCTTCCAATTTTTACAACCAATACTACTCAAAAAATAGACATATGATATATATGTATATATATAAGGCCCGGCATGGCCAGGTGGTTATGGCACTCGACTCGCAATCTGAGGGTCGCGGGTTC